CATAAGAAAAAATGAATCATCTAACAAGATCACCAATGGCACGTTCTTCTGGGTCCAACCTCTGAACATATATACTATATTAAGGGAAAGATTGATTGACCCAGATAAAACAGATCTCACTGGCAGGGAACCTATATGTTGCTGTCGGCACTGTGAGAATGCCGGTAGAGTAGAGTTGCCCGCGGTTGTTATGACAGGAGAGACACAAAGAGGGTCTCCGGTTACAACGATAATGATCACCAGTGAGAGGGAAGAAATGGAGATGGGGGCAGGTTGTAGAAAAGAGAAAGGGAAGAAGAAAGTGCAATGAGAGAGGGGTGGGAGCTGGAGAAACGAAAGAGGTAGAGAGGGCCATAGGGGTAAGGGTGGTGGGTTAGCAAAATTTAAACTGTCGTTAGGTCTGGACTCCGCAATCTCGAATTTATTTGGGAGCGGGTGACGTGTTCGGTCCTAATTGGGTTCTGTCCCTAGGAGACAGACGATGTCCTTTCCTGGCGTCGGATTGTACAGCATTCTTATCGCCAAGATTCCACGAACTACAGCATCAGGACCGTGGGGATGGTTGATGATGACACTTGGCCTGGGATTGAACTCGCTTTAGGCAATGTCATCGTACAAAAACACCACTATGTTCTCCTCCTTCGACCCTCCTTTCCTCAACAGCTGATATGCATGGCAGATCCGTCCGTACTCCCTTAACCGAGATCCAACTAGAGGAATCAGTATTGATGACATTTCAATTTCCAATATATTCTCTCTTTCCGTCACATCTCCGTCTCCATGTTTGTTGACGATCAATGGGTTCTTAACCTTAAACGGTATTTTAGGAATTTTTAAAAATATCAGTAATTGCATAATTTAAGACAAGAGTAGAGTAAGTCAATTTCTTCAACCATAATGGTATTTTAAGAAATTTGCCTAAAAAATAATACAAACTTATTTAGAGAATAAAGCCCATGCATCCATGGGTCCTAACTAGTAGTGGTGTAGATAAACAACAATGTTCGAGAATGCATCATATATATGTAATAGAATGCCTTTTAAAGCAACGTCTAATACTCTTCTTGACATTGTGGATAGGTAGGGGGTGTCAATTGGACTGGATTTGGTCCAATCCGGTCCAATCCAAAGTGAGTCCATTATAAATGGACCAGGTCCAATCCGATCCAATGAATATTTTTTACCATTTTGGACCAATCCAATTCAATGTCTAGACCATCCAATTTGTTCAAATTCGTTTTTGATTTAGATTGGTTTCAACCCAAACCCGGTTCATTGACACCTATATTCTTATCTTATATCAATGAACCAGATATTGGCTTAACCCAACCCAATGTATTATAAATTTATTACAAACAGACCAGGTCCAATCCAATCTAATAAAAATTTTGAACCAGATTAGTCCAATCCAATGTCTTATTTGGTCCATCCAAATTGACACCCTTGTGGATATGCAGAATAACCCAGCCCACATCATTTACATGTTTGGGGATGTGTCGAAGAAGCCAATGTATATAACCCATAAAAGGAAACTCAACCCCTAGACGGTGAATTGTTATTTCATTGGTTATACAAAACGATAAAAAACATAAGTTTTATACCCCATCTAACAGTACTAAAATTGCAGAAACCCTAAGGCTATGTTTGGTTTGAAGGAAAAGGTAGGGAAACATAGGAAAACCTATACAAGATTTATAAAGGTTTACCTATATTTCCCTTCCTTTTCATATTTTTTCCTTCAAACCAAACACAGCCTAAATATTAAATTCAAAAAGAATGGTAAAACTAGTTGGAATGTTAAACCATAGCTCAACACTACAAAATTTAACTGTTCTAGAAAAACATAAAAGAAATGCTATAACGTTGAAGAAAACATAAAACATAATGTGGTTTGACAATTTTTAATCTACAACCACATAAATCCCTACGAAATTTAACTATATTCTCAAAACAATTATAGTTCTGGAACATAAAACAAGATTAGATTTGCTGTCCACAAGACATGATCTACAGCCATACATCTCAAACATGCTTCATACTTGTATGCTATTGTTGATGGGGTCATACTTTTGAAATGGCAATCATGTCTGAGATATGCAGATATAAATCACCTCGGAAGCTGTGTGGATAACATGGTCAATAGTAGATCTAAACTCACAGAAAACTTAGGGTCTCTTTAGTTCGTAGTAGTCGGAATTAAAATCTTTTGGAATCAGAATCAGAATGGTCCATTCCCATAGTTTATTTGATTCAGATAGAAATAGAAATGAGAATTGGAATCAACAATAATGAGATTTTATTCCCAAAGGAGGGACAAGGAATGACCATTCCCTCAAATTGGGAAATTCCATTCTAGTAGGAATGGAAATAGGATTCCAATTCTGCCCAACCAAACAGTTGAAACCAAAATAACCCATTCTGATTCTAATTCCAGATCTCTATTCCTACAAACCAAACAACGGGGCCTTATTTTTAAATATTTTAATTAAGCTTATCGATGCATTTCTAATGTGAGTAAAATTGAAAATACCTACCAATGATGTATGATTATATTTCTCACAACCACACCCCTCCTAGGGCCATAAATAATTGGCTGGGTCTACCCAACAAATAGAGACGAGTAAAGAGAGTGAACCGAGGTAAGCGGAAGGATTAACTAAGAGTTCTTTACTTCATTCCGGAACTTGTGACAGCAAGGGCCTGGGCCGCGCATATGGGCCTCATCATTTTACCCCACTTTCGAGAACGAAACAATTGTCTTGCTACTCAGGCAATGGGAGATCAGCTTGGTTAAAGAAAAATCTGAATTGTTATTATCATATAGATGTCAAGTATAGTTCGGTATAATTAGATCAGTCTTGATTATCCCAATTGGTTCTATTCTGGATCTATTTTATAGAACTGATTAATATTTTTTTGATAATAAATAAAAAATTATAAAAAAGAAAAAAAAATACAAAGAAGCGGGCCAACCCGTAAGATAAGGAAGTCAAGCACTATACAACCAACAAAACCCACAAAAAGACTTGACCACCCAATCCAATACACCTCAAGAGAAGAGGGGCAGGGTAGCAAACCAGAGCCAAGTAGGCATCCCTTAGCTATGGTTTAAAGTATAGGACAATATTATATCGTATTTTTTGAAAAAGATATGTTCTGAAATGTCTGTTTTTAGAGGTTTTGGAATCCTAACTTTTTTTTAATAATAAAAAACATGCTTTTAGCTTTTCAAAACACTAATATTTGAAGAAAAAAACTAAAAAATAGAATTTCGACCATTTCTAAGTACCGATATAATACTGCCGATATACGTATCGTATCAATACTTTGAACCTTGTCCCTAGCACAAATGCCTCCCACAACCCTCTCTACCTCTGCCAACACTTTTCATTTTGGTAATAGAATAAAATTTTATAAAATCAAAAAAAAAAGAAAAGAGAGATAAAAAAAACTAAAAAAAAAAGAAAACAATTTCGAGCCCAAGAACAGCCCCAAGAAACAACTAACAAACCAGACAAAAACAGGACTAACAAAAAGAACAGGCCCAGCCCACTAAAATCCAACCCAAGAAGGGAAGAGGACCAAAAAAAAAAAACAGTCCGTGTGGTTGTCCTTGGGGTTGTACCTCTGTCAAGAATGCTTTCCCTCTGTCACCTCTACCCCACCCCACCCTCTACTATACTTTTAGAGCCTTTTCTGGCTTTCCCCACACGAAAAGCACCAAAGAGCTCCGCCTAGATGGATAAAGTAAGGTTTTTAAAATCGGACCGGACAGGGAACCATTCTGGGTCCGGTTCTCAGGTCAAATGGTTCAACCATCTAGTCTGAATTGATGGTCCGTTCTGACAAAAATAAAAATAAAAATTAAAAATTAAAAAAATCCAAAAAACTGTCAAAAACCGTTCCTAAATCAAACAGTACAACAGTTCGATTGCCCGGATCAATGGTTCATTGACCAAATCAATGATTTTTGGCTAAATAGCGGTTTTAAGATAAAACAGAACCGATCAGATAACCAGTTCCCGATTTTCTGATCTGACCATCCGGTCTGATCCGGTTTTGAAAACATTGGAAAAAACTGAAAAACATAAACTTCATCTCCAACACTTGAGCTATGAACAAAATGACCAGCCGACTCTTACCCCGCCCTACATTCCCCCATCCCTCCACCCCAATTGAACCCTGTGTTATTTGTAACGAGTCCCTTAGAATGCAAGACATCTCATCAGCATCTGAACATAGTCATCCATAAAAATTTGTTAGGTCAAAATAGGGAAAATTTATGATGCGGGAAAGAGATGGTACACTACTAACTAGTAACTACCCTCATGCAGTTTATTACCTCAAGGCAATGTTTTAAAAAATAATTTAGAATCGGAATCATTCTGGCCACTGAATTCTAGGTTGATAGTTTGACTATCCGATTCGAATAAATGGCCCATTCTAACAAAACAAATTAAAAAATAAAAATAATAATAATTAAAATTTAAAAACAATTAAAAACCATTGAAAAGGACAAACAGTTCGATAATTTGAACACCCAAATTAACAGGTCATTAACCAATTCAATGGTTTTTGGTTAGGGACTGAATTTTGGGGTAAAATGAAATCGGTGGCCTGGTGATTCCCGGGCCGAATGGTCCGGCCGTCCGGGTCAGGGGAGGAGGTTCAACCTTAGTGACTATTTTGTTTTAATAATGGGCACCTCCCTCCCCCCATGATACACTACTAACTACTCCCAATTTTCAAACCTTTGCAATAAATATGAACGTACGGTGGCGATCTAAAACCTATTATCTTGTCACGTGGCACACATTAAGTGGCTTCCATACTGTGAGTCCTACAAAGGACACATTATGATCTGATGATCACGACTTGGTAGAGTGTTCCTTTTAGACATCCATTTCAATTTTCATGGGTCCCATTCTTTTTTTGTCACGTGTCCTCATATTGGTAGATTGATGATTCAATCCAAAGAGACTAAAAGAAAGAAAAACATATATGAAAAACTGCTGCCAATTTTATTGATTTCAGAAAGCATGCAATTGATACATTTTATATCAAATACAAATAAGGCATGCCTATAGCCATAATCTATTCTTTATACAGAAGAAATTGATCCGAAGATATACTACAAATCTACAATTTCTTACCAGTAAATCTCATGTCGATCTGATCATGAGAGATGACCCAAGTGCAATCCAGAAAAATTAAGGCTTTAACTAATTTTAGCCGAAGAGGAAATGTTCCAAGTTACAGCCCTGGAGTGAAGGGGACTCCGGCAGCTGCAATCCAAGAGCCTCCTCCCAAGAAGCTCCCGACGGTGAACTTTCCGGCGTCATCAGCACTCATGACGTGAAATCCTTCCCAGTTTACTCTCCCGCTTGTGCTTGCACCGGGACCGGTGTTCATGTACTCCCCATAGTACAGACTGCTCAATGCAAACTTGCCACTCCACTCGAGCCACCCTGCCCGGTCGACGAGGCTGTCAAGAGATGTCTTCATGAACACAGTCCTCGAGTACTTCTGCCATGGCCGCCCGAGGTATGTCTTGAATGAACCCTGCACAGCTCTCAGGTCCGAAGCGGCGGTCACCCGTGAATTGTGGATTGAGATGCCTGTGTTCTCATTGGGGTCTGTCCGTCCCTGAGCAGTCACCGTATTCTTCTGACCGCTCATGGGCTTTCTAACATAAATGTTGCAATTCTGGAGAACAGCGACGGCATCTCCAAAGATGAAATCCACCGTGCCGTAGATGTCGCAGTCCCGGTAGAATTGGCGCTGAGAGTAGACGTATAAGGTGTCCTGGTAACCCTTGAAGCTACAACTGTAGAACACCGAGAGATCAGAGCCTGATCGGAGGGCAACTGCTTGGTGTTTCTGGGGTCCAGCTGTGTTTTCGAACGTCATGTCCCGAGCCATGAACCCATCGCCGGTGACCCCTGAAGAGATGATACAATTCGAGTAAGTCATTCATAGATTAATGCATTAAATTCTATTACTGTTAAAGAGTCTGAGATTTTGGGAGAGAGAGAGAGACTTCCCCGCCATTACAATAATAATGGTTTCGGAGATAATAAAAAAGTGAAAAGGACAATAAGAAGGAACTCAACGATGAATTAATGAAACTTATTGGGTGGTGGTGCGCTGTGGGCTGTCAAGTTGACTTAGCTAGGCCATGGAAAGAGAAAACAACATCTAGTCTTTCTTTGATGGGATAGACAACCAAGAACATCCCAGGAAAAGGTAACAGGAACCTCCTTTAGTAATGACCAGAGCTTGGGTAATAAAACTGGCATAAGTTGAATATTCAAACTAGAAATTAATTAGGTGTAATTAGTTATACGCAAAATTTCTAAAGATAACATAAATAAGCTTAGAAAGTTTTTATTAGATTTGGACTTATTGACCCATATCAACAACATCAACAGTCTTAAATTTTATTCATTTATATATTTAGAACTGATAAGGGCACTAGTATTTAATTGATTATCATCTTTTAGCAAGAACTAAGTTTGATAATCCATGAACAGAACTCACCAACTGTAGCTGTTCGGAAAGTGGTGGAACCATCTTGGGCGTTTTTGCTGTCTGTCACTATTGTAGCATCGATCCCGTCTCCAATCAACATGATGTTTGAAGCTTTAATCTCAACGTTCTCTTTGTAAACACCCTTTTTCACATATATAACAAATCTCTTCCCGCTTCTCTTGGATGAAGCGGCCACTGCCTCAGAGATGGTCTTGTAGTTACCAGACCCATCTGCGGCCACCACAACGTCAGCTTGTGAAGCTGCACTGGGTGACTGAAGAAGCTTTCGGTCTGCAGCAGAGACCCATGTCGGAAAGCCATCAGAAAGCAACCGGCGATTACCACCTTGCTTACCCAACAGAGACGCTGCTGATGAATCTGCTTCCTTGTTTATGGCAAGCGAGTTGCTGACCATCTTGGAGAAGTTGCTCAACATGAAGGGAAAGGAAGATAAGTAAGAAGATTTGCCTAACTCAACGAAGCCGTTTTGGCAAGTCTGCTGGTTGGTGATTGCGGCACTGAGCCATGTCTGAGCATCGGACCAGCTCAATGGATTCTTAGACCCCATTGCTCGGTTAAGCTGGGTAACTGTGTCAGAATAAAGCTCCACACAATCAGCCCATGCCATCTTGGCCTTCTCATCAAATGAGCTCACGTCCATGGCAGAAATGAGCCCATAGGCTCGTTGGGCTTGGTCCAAGGTGGAACCAAGGGCAGCGTCACGGAGACTGAATTGGGTTTCATCTAAGGTGGCAAGGGGTTTATTAGAATAACTCATAAAATAAGACTCACATATTTCAGGATATGGGGTTTGGCCACAAGATGATATCGTATCACTAATCACTCCCTCAATGACCAAAACAAGAAAAATAGTCACAAAACCTGATACAAGCTTATCCATTGAGACACTCTGCAGATTTGCTAACTATTAAATCTATTGCCTTGATGCTTCAAAGCTTTCAATGATTCGAGAATGCAAGATTGTGTGCTCTTTAAATAGGCAAGATTCTGGATCAATAGGAAATTGACTATTTTCATTGTTTGAATGCGTATATGGTTTTAGGAAATTTATTGGGCCATGCCTGATGTTTACATGAAAATGAAACACCTCGGTGTATGGTTGCTTATTTTTGAATTCCAATAACGGTTTGTTGAAGCTGATATGTATACGCCAGTGGCTCTATTTCAACGGTTTGTTGAAATAGCCCTGTTGTCAATTCACAGAGATATTAGTTTCCAATTTATTAAGTTACAATAATTGTCCCTGAAAATTCACAGATAAACAAAATTGCATGACCCATGACTCAAATTCACAAGTTTATACTTTATATTATATTGTGGCCATAATCCTTTTTTTCTCTTCTAACTTAATAACCATTGAAAAGATAATAATATGGTAATTATTATAACCCTTTGATTGGTATTAGGAAGAAGATTACAAATTAGTGGGGCCATATGTCTGGAGCCCAGATTTCCTACCCACTATAGAGATATGTGGCTACAATTCACGGCGGATAGAGAGTGGGTAAGAAAAGTGAACAGAAAATCCGGAGTGATCTGAGTGTAGATGATGATCCTAAGATGTGAAAAATGACATGGGTTCAATAACTAAATTGTTGCTTTCATAATCGATCTTCTGATGGTTACTAGATTTCTCAACAGATTATTTTATTATCTAAGTTCATATTAGGTGGCAGATAAAATGATATTTTCACATCAATGGCTCCACTAGTAAAAGATTATTAGTAGGAGGATTTATCATGAGTAAGGCTGTCAATGGACTTGGAAAGTCTGTCTGAAGACTCTGAACTTAGACTTTAATATTTTATATTTATATAAAATTTTGTATATTTACAAGTTAAGCACAATAAAGTAGATATATATTGAATTCGAGTCCGATCCAGGTCTAATCCGAATCCAATTCATTTACAGAAGATTACAAATTAGTTTTCTATTTTTTTTCGACCCCTGAATAAAGAAAATCCATCAGATAATTGATTGTTTTATGAGATTTTATTTATATTTGAAATTGGTGGTTTACTATACAGTTTAGGTTTAATTATTAATATTCTTCTTTTTAATTCTTTGTCAGATGCACTTGATGGTTACTAGATTTTGTAATATTTTCTTTTAACTTCGGCTTTAGTTAATAATTTTTTTTAAAGGTAAAATAAGAATTTCTTAACAAAAGGAAAGGAATAGGCAAGCACTAGACAGAGATCGGCTTCAATCACTGCAAGGCCTGTTCAAATACTGTTCTAACAGCCTTTTCAGCCTTACATTGGGAACATCTTTGTACTTTTATGCTTTATTTCATGGGGAGATATTCCCAATGCAAGACTATGATGGTTGTTCTTACAGGCCTTGCAGTGACTGAATCCTAGACAGGCCACAAATTTCAGTTAAGATTTAACTAATAAGTATTAGTCTTTTTAAATTGGAAGGATTTTTTTTTTGTTTATTGCTAACTAATTATAATAGATGGATATCCCTTTAAAAATAATCCTTCCTAAAATTTTTTACTGATAATTTAAGAATATTTGTGATTAGATTTTATGTCAGCTATAGGAATCCTCTCCTACCTTTGTACTATATCATCAAGAGTTATTTTTCTTCCAAATTAAATGTCATTATTATTAGATTATTTATTACCACTCAAGTGAACAGTTTCATTAGTCTTCCCTTTTAGGTCAATTGCTGAAACCTCCCCTGAAGTTTGGTAATTGCAATCACCTCCTTTGAATTTCTAATGTAATTGTAAGTAGATCCCCTTAGAACCATCAAAATGTCCAAAATACCCATGACATTACTTTTGACCAAAATGTTTATTTTCCAAATTTTTGTATTCATACCAATCACTACCCCAAGCCTCTCCGGTCTCTTTTCCAAAATTCATGTATCTATCAAATTTTCTCTTCATATCAATCCCTCAAAGGTAAAACTACAACTTTAAAATTAAACAATCTTTTCTTTTGGTTGTTCATAAAGTTTGTATTGTTTTTTTTTTTTCTTTCTATAGAAATCAGCCTCAATAGTAAGGTACATGAGTATTTTGGACATTTTCATGCCTCTTATTAGAGGATTTTAACAAAGGGGGTCTACTTGCAACTAAGCCAGAAAGTTGAGAGAAGATGGTTTCAATTACCAAACTTTAGGGGAGATTAATTTCAGCAATGATCAAAATCTTCAGGGGAAGTTTCATCAATTTATCCCCTTTTTTTTTATTTTGGATCATTTTAGGCTTTTACTTAATGTTTTCACTTTACACTCATCTCTCAGCTATAGTTAAAACCTTGACAACAGCCAGCCACCTATATTTTCATCAAGTGATGAGAAATATCTCTGTACTTCCCAAAGAAATGACCTTTCTGTATGGATCAGAATAAGTAATTGATTTAGTATTGCACCTTCATTAAGGCATGTATTCTCGGTATCTATGATGAAGTCAGAACTTTGAAGAACCAGGCATCACAAAACCATTTACGGGTTTGAGTATTGTGATTTGGAAGGTTAATAATGGAAAAAAAGGTGAAACTCTAATTAACTAAATTTTCTACCAAAAAGTAATTAATTAACTATATCGAATTCAGTTAGGAGACTGGAGACATATATCTTATTTTATTTTATATTCTAACTATTTTATTTCATGAACAGATTAATCCTAGCTAGCTAGCTATGTCCACGTTTCTAAGAGAATGTATAATATCTTCTGGAGCAGGTTAGTTTCGTTTGAACGGTTATGGACCCTTAATTATATGTTTTCTCCATTCCAAAGGAACTATCGAATGAGCCTCATAGCTCACTTAGAGAATTAATTGGCCCAAAAGTCAGCTTGAACTGGTGACGATGAGTACGTGTTAGGTTGATGACATGAAGCTCAACTACAAGTAATAAATATAGGAGAATCCTTCTCTGATATTTTGCATCCTGTGGTCCAGATTCAAGACATTGATGTCAATAAAACATATAGCTCTATTCTCTTTAGTAAAATCTTAGACAATGGTTTTTTTGCCAAAAAAATAAATAAAACAATCAAAATTCATTAAAATATTCTTCATGCAAATTTATGACCAGACATACCTCTTTTCTTTCTATTATTAAGTGGCATTTAATAATTAATGACATGGGTTTTAGTTTTGACCATGAAAATGCAAAATAGGTTACAGCGATAGTTTTTGAAAACGAGCCTCGATTGGGTTGGATGGTTGGACTGTTTGACGTAGGAATCTGTCATGACTCCGGGTTTGGTTTTAAACCAAAAGCCATTTGACCGTTTGACCTTGGGAATTGGTCAAAGTGATTCTGTTTTTTGGTTTTTAAAATCATAGTTAAAAATTAGTTGAAAGAAAACCTTATGACAAATAAAAATTAGGTAGAGTTGGGATTTTCAATCTTAGGGTCCGTTTGGTTTATAGTCCGAATTGAAATGGTTCATTCCCATAATCTGTTTGGTTCAGATAGAAATAGGAATGAAAATTAAAATTAACAGGAATGTGATTTCATTCTCAAAAGAGGGGTAGGGAATGATCATTCCCTCAAATGGGGGAATGCCATTCCAGAAGGAATGGGAATGGGATTCCGATTCCATCCAATCAAACAGTTGGAATCGGAATAATCCATTCCGATTCCGATTCCAGATCCCTATTCCTGCAAACCAAATGGGCCCTTAATAAAGAATCGAAATGATATAATTTGTTTGTTTTGTTTTCCATTTTTTGGGGAAAAATCTCAACCTTTAGGTGCATATCATGTAAAAATTAATGGACGACACATGCTCATCATCTCTATGTTATTAAAATGTGACTAAGACAAATAGGACTACGGAGTAGCAATGGTAATTGGGCGGGTTGGGCTGGGTTTGGTTTGGGTTGAGTTTCAACCCAATTTATCTAACCCGCCAACCCATTAATGATTCAGTTATCTATAATTAAATGGGCTGGGCTCAACCCAAATATGCCTTGACCCAATCCAATCCACTTAAATCTATTAATCTTACATTTATGTACTTAAAACAAAAAACTAACTCTTACTTGACAAATAAGTTGATCATAGCTTGGTGATAATAATTGTTGTTTATACAAATGGTGAATGTTCAAATCGCATTACATGCCATTTTATTTTTACACAAGTGGCGAAGCCATTTGATTATGTTCAGGTTTCGAGCTTGACCGAACCACTTAGGTTCAAACCAGTAACTGTAGGTAGAGTAAGGCTTGGATGGGGAGATCCCGAGATCCTAAAAGATAGGAGATAAATGTGCTTGTCTCTTATCAGGAAAGAGAATATTGGATTTGCTATCAATCATTAAGTGCACCATTGGGGTTTCGTCATGTGTCTCATAAGGATTTTCTCGAGAATCGGCTTTCCTTCTCCTCAAGATCCCTCATGATTCACGTGCATTTTATTTTAATTGGCGTGGCGTCTAATACCGTCACCGCTTGGCGGGAGGTGTCTTGTTAACCCTACGTGGCATCTTGCCACGTATTTTGATGGTGTAGGTTCCACGTGGCTCTGGGCATGTGCGGGCCTCACCATGGGCTCGGCTTGGGCTTCTCTCGATTTGGGTCACGAGTGGACTCGTAAGCTGTGGGTTCATTGCACATTTAGCGAATCGTCAGTTTATCGCACGTTTGAACAGGCATGAGGCCCTATCCTGGGTTTGGCCATGGTTTCCTTTAGTTCAGGCACCGAGTGGGCTCGGTGAACCACGGGTTTATCACGATTTTGCGATATGCGTTGTGAGTTCATCACAGAGCTTGTGGTACGTTACGAGTTCATCGCAGCAGGAAGGTTGTCTACGGGTTGCTCGCATGCAACCTTGTGGTGTTAGTTTCAGTATTTGGTGTTCTCTAAGGGTCTGAGCGAACACTGTATACCTACACCAACTTGAACTATCTAATTGATATGTCTTTGAGCTAATCACATTAAGGGTGGTTGAACCATTTGGATTC